ACATAATTAAAAAAGTTCAATAAAACCACTCGCACTAATAAAAACGCGCGTAAACTTTCACATGAAAACACGTTTAAGCCTCTCGTGAACTGGTCTCTGAGTGAACAGGGTGGGAGAGCAGAGGGGCAGACAGCACTCAAAAAGGAAAATAGCGTATCTCCAAACTCTCTGAATAGGGTGGCGTAGGTATTCTAGACTAAGTTTCAATATTCAATAACAAAACACGTTTATTATAATACGAATTGAAATCCCAGCTAGTATAATTACATTCGTACAAATACAGATATGGTAAAATCAAGTATCGTCATGATTATCAATGCTTTGCCCATCCCATTATTTGGCTTCGACACACGAAAACAATGATTTGTATAGAGATAAATATATAAAGATATTTTCAATTATTTTATTTTAAACATTTTCTACTTTTGTCTATATATCGGTATTCTCAGTTTCCCAGGTTATGTGTGATTTTCTTTTATGTAACAAGCCTCCTGTTATGTTACGTCAGTTCACAAACAAAATAATAAGATAACCTATTGTTATGTTGAATATATGAAACGCGTACGTAGTCAAGGGATCAACTAGTGTGTAGGTACACATTTTGTTTCCATTACAATTGTTACCCTGTGGTTTATTTCATTAAAACTGACAGATATGTATATCAGAACAAAGTAAATAGTAAAGTAATAAGTGCTTCTAAATAAAATAGAGATATAAAGATAAAGACAAAATTGTTCAATTAAAGAATAATTGCTTATACCTCATTATTCTCTTTATTCTTTATTGTACACACACACACATAATAAAAAAATTATACAGAATAAATGTAATGTACAAGGGCGAGCTTATCTCTAAAAAGAGATTTCTTCCAGCAAACCTAGACAATGTTATAGGATCGTGTATTAAATAGAATAGTCATACATACGTGTACGAAAAGAGGAGATATTAAAATATTGTTTTAATGATATTAACTATAAGTATCAATAGACATACATAAATGGTACATAAATAAATTATAAGACATAAGTTAAAATGTAATTATAATATATACCTAAATATATAAATATAAAAATACGTCAGCATTGTGAATGATAATACGCTTTTAATCGGCATTTGAATATTTCAATACTAGAACTGGCACGTATTTCGTGAGGTAAAGAGTTCCACAATCGAATAGCCGTCACCACAAAAGAGCTGGAATATGCCTGCCCAGAGTGTACTGGAATCCGCAAGAGTAATTTATTCTGAGATCGAGTGTTCATTTCTGTCGGATGGAGAAAATTAAAACGTTATATTATAAATTATGCAAGATGTTGTACAGAAGACTGAGAGTGTGAACATTCAGTCGAAAATGAAAGGGCAACCAGTTTAACTGGTTATGGTATTGAGATATATGGTCAAACTTACGCAAACCAAAAACAAACCGAATGCACATGTTTTGGAGACGTTCCATTTTGTTGAGCAGTTCACCAGTGGCATCAAGAAAACAAACATCTGCATAATCTAGGAGAGGTAAAAGGAGTGTATGAGATAATTCGACCTTCGTTTTAAATGGAAGAAATCTCTGAAGACGCCAACCTACCTACCATACCTCATTGTAAAATCTTATTAAATATTTCTGAATTATAATTACATATGATCATTCCGATCACGTAGGCGTCTCTTCATTTATCAAGTTCAATCAATAATAAGTATCTACCTGAACTGTATGGAGTAAGGATCTGAATGCGGTAAATTATAAGATGTCAATGTAACTTCCACAGGTATCCCAGCGAAATTATATTAACATCATAATAATTATATAATGAACTTAAAGTTTTAAAAACTAATTGTTGTTTTGAAAACTAAGTATATAATGTAAGTTTTACAAACAATTATCTACATCAACATAGGTTCCATTACTAGGAATGTAGCAACCAGTCCCTATTATATTAACAATCCTCTCTCTCTAACTTTGACGTTACAGGTAACTGAATGCCAGTATCTATTACATTATAAATAATACCTACATATTTTTCGTATAAGTATTCAAGTATACGAAAAATAAGTCTATAATTTATTAAGTAGAAATACCAATAAATTTATTTAATGTACTTTTAAGCATTTATAACAATATGTTAAGAATTACTATGTGGAACTTAAATATTACATACGCCAGTAAAATGCGACAGTGGTGTCATCTATTGAAACTTCAGTTACAAACAAACATTTAAAGCGTGCACGTAAGTGCTAGTTCATAAAAACGATGCGACTTTTATTGAAAGCAATGTGGTGCCATCTCTCGGGTGGTTAATAGATAGTAGTAGCACATTTTGTACCCTGCTATGCTTTAATCAATACGTCTAATACATTATTTTTGTTGTCGCATCTATCGTATCATATTTAATAGTCGAATATGACATGGGATGGCGTACAACGCATTATTTTTACTTCTATATGAAAAACTGTTGTATATTTTACTTCCGTTTTGTTCAATACACTATGTATATGTACAGGTTTGTAATGAATAACTTTCGCTCTGCCTTCAGTCGACTTGAAGGACAATCTCTCATTTATATTATAATACTAATTATTCAATCAGCACGTGTACACATTTCAAGCAGGAACAGGGAGCTTGTTTATATATTATTTAGAAATTGGGAAGTAAACCTAGTCATTTACATTATTAGATGAATGTAAATTCCATCAATATTTATTATATATGTTGTTTGCCGTAACCCATACACGACAGCCACAACGAGATGATTGTTAAAGGCACACCAAAACCTTCCGAACTATTTATGGAGTTACTGAATGCCAACTGCCGCCAGCAGGTACCAGTCTGACTGATAGAAGTCCAAACCTCACTTCAGATACAATGCCGTCTGTTAACCATTGGTGTAAACTTATATAGTACTACTTATTTTGAACAGTTAATATTTTGCATTTATTATATTGCACCTATAGTCTATTTTTTAATCTCGGAGACTAAATTAGAAAAGAATAACATTTATTTCGGATATCTATGACTCCACATTAGGCTATGCCTGTATCATGGAAGTTAACGCAAGTTTGTTACATTGCTACGGCGATCAGTGTGATGATAATAATTTTGCATTTATATAATAGTAATACTGATGATATATGACAAAAAAATACAATAATAAAAATTATTTGTTGTGTAAATGGCAAAATTTCAAATAATGTTGCCAACTGTACTATTGCCAATACTAATTGCAATTAATGATTTATTAAGTTTCTTACACACATTAAGATTGCATTCACTCTCCTTACTTCAAAATTGACGGTCTATTTACATCATTTTTAAGCCTTAAGCGTTGGATTTTCAAATTTTTTTTTTTTATTTCTAAGCATAAATTAGATATGAAATTTAATAGTTCTAACCTTGAAAATTATGGATCTCTACAAGAGGTTAACCCTTTGAACTGCCCCGGACTGTGAATAGGAGTGAAATTTGCAAAATACCTTCACACAGTTTACTGTGTGAAGGTAACATTTATGTTTAGATCATAAAATAGATCAACTATGAAAATGTTAAGTGTTTGACTCGATTAGATCTATTTATCGATGGTTCGATTTTCCATTGGACATTTTGTATTCAGTATGGTTGTTTGTATTGGTCTGGATGTAATCTATATATATTAAGTATATATTTACAAACAATCTATATCTATGTATTTATATCAGTCGTCTAGTACCCATATTACGGGCTCGGCTTAGCTTGGGACTAGATGGCGCTGTGTAAGTTATCCAGAAATATTATTATATGTATTTTTTAGTTTTGTACTAAATTTTCCAGTCCTTTATCCCGTTAGGGGTTGAAGTTAAAAAACTAATTAAACACAATTTTTTGCGTAAAAATAAATATAAAATGAGGTATTCGCCTTATAAATTTTAAAAGCATTGACACCATACTGCGGTTTTTCCTTTATTTTACTAGTAGATGTAAAAATAATTTCCCTAGTAATTGTTTTCATTAAATCAATCAACTGGCTAAATTACAATTTTCTAAACTCTATGTCTTATGGCGTATGCTGGTGAATTAGTCAGGACAAAAAATATATACATTATAGGTAGGTAGGTAATATAAGACGTATATACGTACATACGCCTAAATTGTTACAAATAGCTCCATCTATCATGTGGTTGAGGAAATACTCAGTGAAACAAATCCGTACCAACGCTTTAGATGCCTTTATACTGGATGACCCAGGATACCCCGTAACGGCCGGTGACAGCGTTGCGTCCCCCAGAACAACAGTGCTTGTCTCAATATGACATTTCAGAAGGGCGATATTAGTTCCAGTTTCTACCACCGGTTCAGATAAGTTTGTGGCGTTCATGTTCGTTGACATATTAGAATGCGAAAAACGCTATGCATTTATAAAGTAGAGAGTTATCGTAGGCGAGTATCACTAACAATAAGAGCCAATATTGCAGTAATAAATATTACTATGTGCTAATATGTGAAAAACATAAAAAATAACGCCATCTCTATTATAAAAAATAATATTTAATAGTACAAATAATATAGGACAGGTGGCATGCGTGTATTACTACTAAATGTATTTGTAATAACTTTTCATAATTTTATCAGTATAATTCTGCAACGAAATAAGCCAGCCTACTTAAAATGTAGTCTAATTTCAATATCGATTTCAACCAAATCCATTTATGTACAGTTGCGTGAACAAGATCAAACCGAATAAATCGATAACAATGTTTAATTGAGCACGAAATATGTAGTTAATACAAAAAAATATGATAAATCTCCAACAATAAGAATGCGGTTTTTAAATTATGAATGAATGAATAAATAAAATAATATTAGTGTATAACTCACTATTTTAAATAGGTGCGTTACTGTACAAACTTATGCCATTGGATCTGAATTAATTTCCAGAGAAGACAACTTGGTGGCAATAAACATTATAAACTATTACGTAATTATTATGAATATATATGAACTTAAGAATACACAAGAAACCCACTGTTCACAGTACTGGTCATGCTCTCCTGCACACCTTGTACGGCTACAGCACCAAGTATAAGCAGGTGGATCACTTCGTGGAGTATTTCGTGCTTGATCTCCTAGTACAGGATGGCGAAGTGGTTGGAGCATTGGCCATGAATATGGACGATAGCAGTTTACACAGGTTTGGTACAATGATTACTATCAACCAAGTCGAGCCGAGGTAGAAAAAAGTTATCAGAATATAAGTTATGTGGGTCTCTCAGTCTCACCTATTTAGTAGTAGATTAGGCAGTGAAATTACAGAATAAAATGTTATTCTTATATATTATGTCAAGATAGTCATGCTACTATACGTACATGTTTAGTATAGTAATGTAATATTTAATGTGTTTTTTCATTCTGCAATCCTTCTCTATATATGTAAACTATGAGTGTGCTAAATTTCAACTGGTCCATTCGCACAATTTACATATTATTATATAGATAATTATAAAGATTTCAGGCAAAGAATACAGTGCTAGCTACAGGCGGCTACTCGAGGATGTTCTTGTCGTGTACTGCAGCGCATACCTCCACCGGAGATGGATGTGCAATGGCGACACGGGCGGGCATCGCTCTACAGGATATGGAGTTTATACAATTCCATCCCACTGGTAAATTAATATTAGTATTTAATTACTTCTACATTTTTTATACCATATGTGACGTCAAACTAACAAAACAGTTAGTTATATGTGACGAGCAAGTGACAATTTCAATAAATTAACTAAGGTATTGAATAATGATGACGGTGTTGGTGTTCTAGCAGTTTAGTACACCGCCTTACTTCCGATGCGGTCTCAGATTGTATTCTTCGCACGGAACCGTACCAGTGTAAAACGTTAGCGCAGGATGGTGTACATATTATCATCCATTATAAAAATCACATAGGGAGTGTGGATAGATAAGGACATAGGCTACTTTTCTACTTTCATCACATCAAACATGAATGAAGTCATTGACACAGCTAGTATTTAAATTTCTATAATTCTTATCCGTAAGAGTGACTGTCAGTCTCTTACCTTTTCACGGCGAAACAGCAGAACTGAGATAAAACTACGTATTTTTTTCTCTGAGTACATTTGCGATCAGTCCCAGGACTACAAGCGAATATGTTCTGTGATGTTGTCATGTCGAGTGGCATCCCATTGGAAACTTTACTCATCTGCATCCCAGAGCTACTGCGGATCTTCTAGCTCCAGGATATGATGGCGTTTGAGTCGTCTCACATGCTGTTCTATAGTGAGTTGTCGAGCAAATTTGTTAGGGTGATGAATAGACCGTTCCTTATATTTGGCCATTCCTTATTTCCGAATTTCCTCCTTCACTGTTCTTATTTCAAGGTGGTCATGGACTTTATTGTTGGTTATGTGCCATGGTGTTTGTGAAATGGTTCTTAAGATCTTGTTTTGTTGGCGCTGGTGTATATTTATGTTGGAATCACTTGCGCTGCCCCATAGTTGCAGACCATACGTCCAAACAGATCTATGACGTACGTACGTTACGTATTTAACCTATATGTATGTAATACATATATATGTGTATTAAATTATTTGTATCTAAAACATATAAAATTAAAATGTATGTTGTTATGTACATTATCTACGTTTTCTCCTTGTCTAACTTTTTCTTCTACCTAAAGATTTGCTCTATGAGCTAGGCAATATCTTCCCTTCTCGTTATTTTTTTTATATCTAGTGAAGTAATAGTCGCTGCCGCGGGCTTAATGATTTTGATGACTTTAATATAATTTTATAAAAGAAATCTGTTACAATTTTAATAACTATATCTAATTGTACTTAAAATATGTGCGACAGCGTTCGGTGTTTGAATTGCCACAGTTTCCACATGAACATAGTAGACAACACTACGAGAACGGGCATAAGTAATCTTTTGTCTGAAAATAAGGAGGTCGCGCTGATAGAGATTACGCCAAACATTTAGAATGTAAAATAACAAATATTGCTTGTTGCCGCTTACAGGTATGTATGGATCCGGGTGTCTGATGTCAGAGGGATGCCGAGGAGAAGGTGGCTATCTGGTGAACAGCGAGGGGGTCCGGTTCATGGAGAAATACGCGCCCAATGCTAAAGATCTGGCCAGTCGGGATGTCGTGTCGAGATCTATAGCTACGGAAATTCGTCAAGGTAAAAATTGCGTAATACTTTCTATTTAGTAGAGTACATTGTATACCTACTATATACGACTGTAGTTCCCAGACGAGGTATTTAGAGCCACTGGCGACATCATTATAAACGCAACACTTGACATTCTCACATTTACTCGCTATAACTATTTGTGGATAAATCCGCCCGCACTCGGTTTTCTTTTGGTTTGTTATTGTTTGTTTTTTCTACATAAGCCAATTAAAATATAATTGATTATAGTTTTTGACCAGATTTCTATTCGCCACATTTGTAGTAAAAGCCGGATAGTAAATAATAACATGCCTAAACAAATCACGCTGCGCCATATAGTTTCAAGCCTAGCAGACCTTGTATTATGGATACTAGATAACTTATAAAAATACTTTAATAATTTATTTCGTAAATACACATTACAAATAGAAAACATCTAAATCAATACAAATAATAATACTCATCAATAGAAACGCAGTAAAAAGTACGTCGATCGTAGAATAAAATAGAAAATCATCAATTGAAATAAACTTAATTTAAGCACTTTTGAATAGTAAAAAATTTTTTTTTATATCTATCGTTTATTCGGAAAGCTGTCTCATCACAAGAAGAATAAGCAAGGAACTTGTGTGTTGTTCTTTTAAACAATCCTTGTCAGTTCACATTTTATAAGTCGAAACATGTGAATACAAACTACCAACCAGCACTAATTTATATGGGTCAAATATAAATATACAATAAGATTAAATAAGTCGTAGTGATAAGAGCAGACCAGTCCCTACAAGCAGCACTCGTTCACGAGTATGACGGTTAAGCCAGCCATTACTGGGCTCGACCATATTTTAGGGAGCCCAATGACCCGGCCCACCACGCCGCCACATGTATGGACATTTTAGTGGAATGTCACAGCTACTTAAAATTACTATATGGTAATTATAGTATTCGCACTTTACATGAGGATGCATGCGACAATCAATACAAAATCCGCTACGCTATCATATATCAAGAAAGCAGTATGAAAAAGAATTTATAACGTTGTCCGCAAATAAACTTATTCTTGCTAGATATTGCTGTCATCTATGAATTCATCTATCCCATAATAGGCTTTTTGTTGTATAAATATGTAATAAAACTATTAATGACTGAAAATTGTATTTTAATGTTATGGTAGATAGAGAAGGTGACACAATACAATTTTTGTTTTATATTTTTGATTATAGAATAATAAAAAGAAAAACCTTTAAATATATTAATATCAAAAGAGTTTTTTCAACATATCCTCCCGTAATCAAAACATATATATATAACAAAATACAACGTAACAAAAGTAACAGTATCAAAATTACAAATTAGTAAGGTTATCCTATACCCATATTTGAGATACATCTTTGATGTTTAACGCTCCCTAAAGGTTTTGTCAAAACATCAGCTGGTAACAAGTCAGTGGGCATATACCTTAGTTCGATGATTTTATCGTTGACTTTTTCTCTTACAAAGTGGTACTTTACGTCTATGTGTTTAGTCCTATTATGGTGGACTGGGTTTAACGCAAGTTTTTGTGCACTCTGACTATCAGAAAAAAATTGTAACATTTAGTTCCTTACCTGTTACTTCTGCTATAAAACGTTTTAAGAAACATGCTTCCTTAGAAGCTGCCGATAACGCCATATATTCAGACTCTGCAGAAGATAAAGCGACTGTAGATTGTTTCCTCGATTCCCAGGATATTGGTCCTCCTGCGAGTTTGAAATAGTATCCTGTATATGAGCGGCGACTATCAGGACAGTTTGCGAAGTCAGCGTCCGAGTAACCACTTAATATTGAGCATTCTGTCTTTTTATATGTAATACCTAAATGCTTTGTAGCACTTAAATATCGAAGACAGCGTTTAGCAGCATTCCAATGAGACTGGTCGTTATTTGAGTTAAATTGACTTAAGTAACTCACTGTATACGCTATATCAGGTCTCGTATTTACTGCTAAAAACATGAGACAACCAATTAATACTTGATACAAACGGTTAGACTCACCAATACTAGGTTCCAGTTTCTTTTGAGCAAGAGGTGTAGAAACTGATTTACAACTTTGCATTTCAAACTTCTTTAACAAGGTATCAATATATGTACTTTGCGATATTTTAATATAATTTTCTTGACAATTAATATTTATACCCGTAAAGTAATTAACAATACCCAGATCTTTTAACGAAAAATAATTTTCCAATTCAGATTTGAAGTTGTCAAATATCACTTCATTTTTATATAATATCAAAAGGTCATCGACATATATTGCTATAACCAAAGAGTCCGTCATATGTAAACTCTTTCTAGTAAATACACAAGGTTCCGATGGCGTTTGAATAAATCCAATAGTCGACAAAGTTTGTTTCAACTTTGTATTCCAGGCTCTTGGTGCTTGCTTTAAGCCATAAAGGGACCTTTTCAGTAAACATACCTTATTTTTATTTTCCTCTTGGACAAATCCTTCTGGTTGTACCATGTAAACCTCTTCCTCCAAATCACCATAAAGAAAAGCAGTATCTACATCCATATGTCTAATTTTAAAACCATTCTGTACCGATAATGCTAATAAAGTTCGCAACGATGAAGTACGTACAACAGGAGAAAATGTCTCATAATAGTCGACTCCTTGTGTTTGCGTGAATCCCTTAGCTACTAATCAAGCTTTATACTTCACTACATTACCATGAGCATCCCGTTTCAGTTTGTAAACCCATTTGCAGGGAACACAAGACTTAAAGCTTGGTTTCTCTACTAACACCCAAGTTTTCCTTTTCATCAAAGCATCATATTCATTATTCATGGCAGTGATCCAGTTATTTTTGTCATCTCTAGTGATGGCATCACTATAAGTTAATGGATCATCGCATAATGGATCATCACATAAACTACTATATGAAAAATAATTCGGGGGCTTACGTATTCTCTGAGGATATCTTCTATCGGAACAGTTATCATTACCGCTATTTGTATTACCAGATGATGAATTAATATTTTGTTGTTCAACCTCATCACCTGAATTAAGACTCTGTTCCTCATTCTGTAATGTACCATTTGAATTAACGCTCTGATTCTCACTCTGCATCTCGCTACCTCCACCAGATGAAAAAGGTAATTGAGCTGCTTCTGAAGGTGAATTCTTTGAAAACAGAAAGTTTATATTAGGCTCACTCGGTTGATCAAGTTTCAATCCTGTGAAATTACTTTCAAAGAAAATTACATCCCTGGATTTTATAAATTTTCTAGGTGTTTCCACATTACGAAAGTAGTAACTTCTAGGATCATCAGAGTAACCTACAAAGATATATTCTTCTGCTTTCATATCTAACTTAGTCCTTTGGCAAGAAGGAACATGTACTAGCGCTCTGCACCCAAATAATTTAAGATGAAATAAATTTGGTTTACATCCATACCACATTTCATACGGCGTTTTCTTATTAAGTGCGCGATGTGGCGACCTATTCTTTAAATACACGCTAGTCGCTACAGCATCCTGCCAATAAGCCTTCGAAAGCGAACAGTGAGACAACATGCAGCGAGCCTTCTCAACAATACTACGATTACATCGTTCACTCACACCGTTTTGTTGAGGGCTGTATGGATTTGTTGTTTCATGTTTAATGCCATTTGAAGAGAAATAATGTGCTAATTCCTTGTTGACATACTCAGTTCCATTATCAGAACGTACTACTTTAATTTTAAAATCAGTCTGCCGTTCAACAAGGGATTGAAAAGCACAAAACTTTGATTTCACTTCTGTCTTTGAAGACATAAAATAAATAAATATCAAACGTGTAAAGTCATCTATAAAAGTAATAAAATATTTATTACCTTGAAAAGACTCTGACAGCGGTCCACATAAATCTGTGTGAATTAATTGTAAAGCAGACGTTGTTTTCTTACTTTTCAACGCTTTAAATGGTTTTCTCGCTTGTTTACCCTCCACGCAGGATATGCACGGTTCCTTGTCAACCTCCGTGTACTCCACTCCAACGGCTAGACCTTTTCTAAGCAAGTCCATACCTATTCGACAGAGATAACCTAATCTCTTATGCCAAATTTTAAATTTTGACAGTTCAGAGTGCACATTATAGGCTGAAACATTATTAGGTAAATTAATTGAACAATCTAAATTGTACATACCACCATAAAAGGAACCTTTAAAAGTAGGATTATTAGCAAAAAATACATCACAAGATTTATGAAAATTACAACCGGTTTTGTCAAAAACAATAGAAAAGTCTTTCTCAACAGCATTCTTTACCGAAAGTAAATTACATTTCAAACTAGGAACATATAACACATTATTTATTTTTGATTTAACAGAGTTCGTATTAATTGATATATCACCAATACCAGCAATTTGCAATTTCTCCCCATTGGCAACTGTAATAGTTCCACCATCCATAGGGCGATAATTATTCAGCCATTCACCATGTGAAGTCATATGTGCTGATGCTCCAGAATCAATTATCCATTTATCACAGTCTCTGTTATCTAAGGTAGATAAAGCTTTCTCTGAAAACTGAACAGTATCTTTAATGTTCTCTTCTATTTTTGACACGTTTGCCTTCTTGTCCCTATTAAGCGGACATTGGGGACTCTTATGTCCTGGTTTTCTACATTTAAAACATATAATAGGCCTCTTCTTTTTCTCTTTTACTTGTGAAGTACGAAATGCAGCACCGTCGTCGTTCTGAGCACCTTTTAACATTTCGCTCAACAACTTACTTTTCACCATTTCCAAAGTCACTTCAACATTAGAATTTTCTAAAGCCATTACTAATGGTTCAAAGCGTGATGTCAAACCTCCCAACAGAATCGCAGCAAGAGAACTGTCATCGATCTTTTTGCCCATGTCAGCCAAATCTAGAGCAGTTGTCAAGACTGCATTAATGTACGACTCTATATCAGTAAAATCAGATAAAGAGTACCTGTACAGCCGTCTCTCCAGTGCCAATTTTCGACCTAGACTCCGATCTTCATATGCCTTTTGCAAAGCACACCAGGCCTCTTTTGCCGATGTTGCTGTCCTCACATGCGTCATTGCGGCACCGTCCACACAAAGACAAATTTTTGATAATGCCTTCTTATCATTACGTTTCCGCACATGCATAGGTGTATCATCACTGGATTCATAACCATCTATTGCATTCCACAGCTCTTCGTATTCCAACAAACTCTTCATTTTGAGTTTCCATGCTGTATAATCTTCACGACTCATCAATATTTTAATTCCATAAAAATTATTCCCAGCCATTATAAATGAGCTAAATCGTCTTTTAAATTGATTTATTCTTCGTGCTGATAACGAATGTTGTATAAATATGTAATAAAACTATTAATGACTTGAAAATTGTATTTTAATGTTATGGTAGATAGAGAAGATGACACAATATAATTTTTGTTATATATTTTTGATTATAGAATAATAAAAAGAAAAACCTTTAAATATAATAATATCAAAAGAGTTTTCTCAACACTTTTTTATATAACATTTGTTTAATATTAAATTTCAATTCTCTCTCTATCAGATTTAGCGTAGATTCTGGCAGTTTTTATAGAATCTTACGCATTTACCACAGAATGAATTACTAACTTTGTGTAGACGGCATTTAGGTAAAATTAGCTTATTTTTATTGCGTAAGTTTCCACTTTCAACTTGTTAAGTTTCTTGAAACTATCTAAGTTTTTCCTTGTATGCATAATATTTTCATAAATGTACTGTGAGGCAGGCAGGTGTACAGTAAAGCGGTATGCTAAACCACTAGACCAAAGAGATGGGAATAGTCAATTTATATATAATCTTTGTACTCTTAAGGTCGAGGAGTAGGCCCGAAGAAAAACTACGTTTATTTACAATTACACCATTTGAAGCCTGAAATCATTAGAGAGCGATTGCCTGGCATCGCTGAGACTGCGCACACATTCACAGGTGTCGATGTGTTCACTCAGCCCATACCTGTCCTACCCACAGTCCACTACACCATGGGAGGGATACCCATCAACTACAAAGGAGAGGTATCGTATAATCAAATCATGAATTCTTATGGAATCGAAATGTGCATATGTGTGTATACGTTCTTGAACCCCGAATTTGAAACACACACATATGCACAGACACGCCAAATTTATAATACAATAATTGCGTCAGTCGAAAATGTTATTTTAAAAAAAACGCCTTTGATTATAAATGTATATTTACAAACGTGATATTTACGAGTTGCTGTACCCGCGGTTAAATCAGCGTAAAATTTTAGCCTATTTTTTTCTAATATACCGTGTATGTATGTATTAGTCATATTATTGCAAAGTTTCATTAAAATCCATTCAGTAGTTTTGTGAATTATGTGCATTATATCTTACAAAAATATTATCGTTGCGCATGTGATTCAAAATCTCAAACTGTTACTAAAAAATGAAACAATTGTCAAAAAAAAATGTGTTTAATTTGAAATATTTAAACTTTCTTGGTATACAGGTGATAGTCCACCAGGATGGCCGTGACTGCACTGTCAAAGGTCTACACGCAGTCGGTGAGGCAGTAAGCAATTGTCATGGTGCCAACCGGTTGGGTGCCAACTCGATTTTGGATATTGTGGTGTTCGGTAGAGCTATAGCGAATAACATCGTCAAGTTGTTCAAACCGGGAGAGAAACAGTGCAAATTAAAGGACGTGAGTTTGCTTTTAAATATTGTATTATCCAGGGACTAGGAAAGAAGATGCAAAATTATGCAAAATGCATAGGTCTAATAGAGGACTGATATATTCTGAAGAAAAAGGAGGACGATCCATAATCTTTAAAATAATATTACAACATTACTGCGGTCTAAATTATTGTGACTTTAAAAGATTGATGCCCGCCTTCAGTATACAAATTTTTATAACCAGCATACTCAGGATTCTGTCTTCTACGCATATAAGACATATGCGTAAAAGACAGAATTAGAGACATACTACAGAGGCGGATGCGGCATAAGAATTGTTTTCTTTTATAAAATTAGAATGGTGAAAAAGCTAACGCACCAGTTGATAATATAATATAATATAATATAATATAATATAATATAATATAATATAATATAATATAATATAATATAATATAATATAATATAATATTCTTTATCCATTCGTTAATTTACATTTTACAAGTTACAATTTTGCAGTCGTGTCAAAGATTTTTTCTACATAAATTAATGATATTTTTTTAAAGAACTAATAGAATACAAAGTAGCAACCGTCATCTATATACATGACAAGCGCCAATACTATCCTCAGACAATTCACACAGCGTCATCTAGTACGAAGCTAAGCAGAGCTCGTCTTCCGGTTATTGGACAACTGCTACGCATGCATGGATACATTTTTGTAAATACATACATGTTATACTAAGAAAACATCCAGACCAATACAAACAATCATACTCATGAATATAAATGTTTGTACCTTGCAAGAAATAGAAACCGTAATCGTCGAAAGTAAAATGTGTTAAAGCGCTAGACCACCGATACCGGCATTGTAATGATACATTTACACATGTTCTATTTTTGAAATGTAAGCTGTAAAATTATCTTAAATAAAGTAAAATATGTAGTTTATTAATATTTCCAGGATATTTGCGATGCTACATTGGACAATTTAGAGAAAGTTCGCACAGCTAACGGTTGCGCTCCCACCTCCGAATTACGGGAAGCTATGAGGAACACCATGCAATCGAAGTGTGCAGTGTTCAGAGAAGCGAAGCTTTTAGAGGAAGGTTGGTAACGTTATAAATATATTCACAGTTCGTCTAATTAAGCCTGCTAATATTTGCCAGCAAAAACATGGACGTTATTAGGTATCCAGAATACTCAGCAATGTATGAGGAGTATGTTGTGTATTCTCAATATTAAAGAGCAAGGTGTCATTTATTTCTACTATTCTAATTATTTGTAGCTTAGTAATTCTTACTTAGTTACAAATATTTTTCATGGCATTACAAGTCGGATAATGATCCACCCAGATACTTGTACTTTTTTATTTTAGTCTTACGTATAATATATTACATTAGAAATAAAGGGCCCAATAACAAAATACGACTCAATATATTGTAGTTCTAGATAACGATAATTAAACAAAACTATGATAATCAACTCGGCGGCCTCGGTGGTCAAGCAGTATAGCACACCACTTTACTTTCGATGGTTGCAGATTCGATTCTTCACCCGGAACAAACATTTGTATTTATAAATTTGATTGTTTGTATCGATCTGAGCTCTGCTTGGATGGCTCTATGTGAGTTGTCTAGTGATATTATTATTATTATTATTTATACCTTAAATACTATAAAATGGTTTGATTACGTGGTTATGGCATATAATAAGTTATTTATTTTATTATTTAACTAGCTTTATGTCTTTTTATTATTTCCTATTTTTTTTGTGTTGTGTAAAAGTAAATGTTAATAAATGAAATAATATGCACCCTGGGAAGGTATGTGACATCTGAGATACAGTATAATTTTATACTAGTTCAGATGGCACAATTACACTTGTATGTTAAAATTGTTTTGACTCTTATGTACAACTTAATTATGTAACACAACCTATAACTGAGATAAATATTATTATTATTAACTAAAACAGCAAAATTTAAAGAATTAATAATTTTATTGTTATTATCGTCTTCATTCATTATAGGTGAACAAGAAATCCAGCAATGGTTTAAAGCCTTCGATCAGATCAGAATTACAGATCGTCGTCTAAACTGGAATAGCGATCTCATCGAGACCCTGGAGTTGCAGAACATGCTGCAAATGGCTGTCCAGGTTGTCGCTGCGGCAAAGAACAGAACTGAGAGTAGAGGAGCGCACTTTAGAGACGATTTTCCTAAGAGGGAGGATGAAATGGACTACAGTAAACCCACAAAAGACCAGGTAAAAATACGTTTCAGATTTTTTAAATTAATAAAACATGAGAGTTCTATGGACTTGATAGTTATTCTAGAATATCAAAGAATAATGACAATTACAAGTAAAAGGGTATACGGGTAATTACGGAAATTTACAACCAATCATTTTAATAAAAAAAATGGTATGACTGTATTTATATAATAAGTTAATAAGAAATATACTTAAACATGATAATTTGTTATTTAAAAACTATTGCAATGTTAAAAATTACTTCACATATTTAATATTAAAATTTTTTGGCCTACTTCTATATATCCTTCACCAAAATATAGAGAAACCCACCAGTTAAATTCATTTAACCCTCGTATGGTATAGTAATTTTAGTGTCACTAAACAAGTGTCTTTACTAGTGGCTTTGAATGCATTACAGGCCAGGAGACATGACACCGTAGTCCTCAGAAATAAGGCGATGTGATGTCTGTTCATATATATGTTGTCACATTTCTTCAAATAGTCGGTCAGCTTGGTTATCTCTTTTTTATACTACGACGGTAGCAATCCAGCATATGATCCGTATGATGGTAAACGGTTACCGTAGCCTGACTAACACCTGAATCACCAGTGGCGTTACATGCGCTTTGTACACCGCTAAAAAACCTTACTATAGTCGTGTATCTTACGAGGAATCGAACTTGCGACTATCGTATGTAAACCGGCGTGCAGAACTACTAAACCACCAGGCCGTCGTATTATTAAAAAGACACAAACTATCTGTCTATTAGCTTATCAATCCCTGATCGTATATCATGAACTTGCTATAATCACTGTTAAAATATTCATTTCAGACGAAAAAACCCCTCAACAAACACTGGAGGAAACACACCCTGACCACATTAGACCTTTGCACCGGCAAAGTCACCCTCAACTATCGTCCGGTAATTGACACGCCTCTTGACGACGAGGTAGAGACGATACCACCTGTACCTAGAATCTACTAAACATGTACATATATTTTTGTACGTATTGTATGTATGTATTGCTTAATCTCAGAGAGATATATTGTCATTTGCTTATTTATATTTAGTCTCTGTTATTAATTATACATTTTAAAGAGCATTGAGTATTTTGTTTTGGCATGAATCTTCTTTATCTAGTACCTTTACTCATTTGTTCTGACGGTCGCACTAGTCTAGCAGTTTATTAAACTGCCTTACTTCCGGTATTGTATTATATTATACATATAAGTAAGTTTTTATTTTGTTTTTTCTGAGTAAATTATGTAATATTTTTCTACAAATATGTGACTATTCAAAAACTATATTATTATAAAAGTTATTCTCGGTTAGGAACTAAATGACGCTATGTAAATTGTTCTGTGTTATTGTAATTGTTATAAAAACACTAAATGGACTATATTCAGTTTGATTTTACTTCTCTATTTCGATTTATTTTTTTAATTTGTAAAGTGTTATCACTATTAGATTTACTATTATATTAGGTATATGTAATATATTTGGTAGTATACAAGAAACTGTATGTGTGTAAAGTTTGGTGAATTCGCACGTTATAGAGAACCAAAATAGTAAAGTGGTTCGATGCTTCTATATTTTATTAATATTTTCAGTGATACAGAATTAATAAATAAGAAAGAAGAAAAATAAATGTGTCCTATCTAAAACTATCCTAGTATATAGTATTACTTATTTGCCATATCACCCCAGTTGATAATATTGATGATTTTGACAAGAGACCACTATACGTGAACCGGTCCTTCATGATTATATTGTACAATTGAAGATCTTTTATGACTGGACGTCGGCATGCATACCCGACCACACCCACTAAGCCAGGTGTTTTGATCAAATCGATGTTTTATAAGGATTACCTATTAATTTGCTTGTTTCCCCTAAAATATTTCACATTGTAATATTGTAAAATATTTTGGTGCTCCTTTTAGGTGTTCTTATTTTTTTAGGAAATATCTTAACCTAGAGGCTTACAATCCCCACTAGAGGCTTATAACCCAGCCGTATAATTGTTTAACTTCAACGTGGCAAAATAGTATTTCCACCGTCATCCACTAGATTGCTTCATTCTAGAAACCATTGTGATTAATGCAGAAGGATTTCACTACTCAACCCACCATAATGACCAACGAGACTTCATAATAGTACTGTATTTTAGATGATTTCAGCCGAGAGAAAATTATTGTTGAAATAAATATCTAATTGACAATGAAAGTAGCAGCGATTACGAGGGCGAGTTGAGAAGTTTAATTTATCTGAACTCAATATTTAACCCTATTTAAAAAAGTTGTCACCTATTAAATTTTATACTATCAGCGAGTAACATAGGCTGTACTACATTAAGAAAAGATGTCTACAATAATTGTGGAAAGTCGCTAGTTTCTTATGCTTTAAACACTAAATATTACAAAATTAAATTCTCAGTTCACAGTGCCAATAAGATAAAAAAAATACAAGAGGTGACATTCCGAGGGAGGAACAGGGGTGTATGTAGATTAGGAACGTAAATCCATGGCGATAGGCGAGCGTAACAGTAGGTAATTAGCAATGCTCAATGAAGACTGGCGGGCGGGGCACACGATAACAACTGCCACCGGTATTAACCTATTTCAAAAGGAGGAGGTTCGATCGATTTATTGTAGAGCAAGATTTTTCAACTGAACGTATTTAGAAGTATGTAAATACGTTCAGTTGAAAAGTTTAAAAGAAGTTAGTTAAGTTTAAAAGATTTAAGCATACATAGGTACAGACAGCGACAGCGACTTTGTTTTATACTATTTAATGATATTTGAATAAAGATTATTTCTAATTTAATGTAACTATAACAGAAGCTTACGCCCTCCAAGTGGCAACTGTTGCCTATGTACCTACTACATGATGTCCAAAATACCACTTATACATTGCTTATTTAGAAGACGAAGGTATCTCTTATCAAAAAGCTTTCAAAGCCAGATATTATATTGATACGTCTGAAATAGAAATTTAATTATAATAAAAAGTATAGTTATTTGTACTTTAAAAAATAACATGTTTTCTCATTCTTACAAACTTAACAAAAAAAATATTCCAACAATAATACTATATTTAACCTGTGGCAGAAGACTAAAGTTATGGCGTCACGCATCTAACTTTGTACAAAGTCAGTAAATTTTCAACATTACTTAAAAATACTATATCCTTATGCAATCTTAAAAAATGACAAAATGAGAGAAATAGCCTATATATAATAAAAAGTAAATGCAAATACAAAACAGTAATAAGAATACTCCTTTACTAGAGAGGAAATATAAAATTCATGAAAATCCTGTTTTGAGAGAGCCGGTTATTAGGGGAACCGTGTCTGTTCCATAAATAGTAGTAACAATAATATTTCGGAACAATTCACACAGTACAATGTACTCCCAGGGTAAGCAGAATTTCTGTTATGAGTGCCAAACAACTGATTACTGTTAGATTACGAACCTATATAAAGAATAAATAAAAAAATAGAAAGTGGACTGAAAATAATTAATGGAATAGGAAGAAGAAGTACGATTTCGCCCAGGAAGGACGTCTTCCACACTCCGAACACCCCAAAGTAAGCAATATAACACTAAACTTACTCACCTTTGCTCAGAAACATCCCGATGTGTAGTAATAGCCGCACACTTTAGAGTGTATGTGTCAGTAAAAACAATTATATTCATTAAATCAATAATTTTCTTTTTTTATATATAAAAAATATTGAGCGTCCTTTTTATTCCAGTTCTTATTTTCTGTTCACTTTTTTTTCTATATACAAAATTTAAGTGGCTACATGTTTTTATTTATGGCCAGCATTACCAAGCGCCTTTTGGTCCAGTAAGCAATTCGGTGATACAACTTGCTTAGATTAAGGAATTTTGGAATACGTAACAGATACTCTATACAGATTTTTTTGGAAATACATAATATACGTAGAATATACCGAGACCGAAACAATCTTAGTCATGAGTACAAATGTTTGTGCCAGGAACCGAGCTCGCGACTATCTGAAATCAGGCAGAGTACTAAAACCATCGTGTAATGTTGACTGATTAGACAGGTTAGATTTTTTTTTATATACTTTTTCTGTTTACTGAACTGATTGCTTCATTTACATATAAGTTATCTGTTAACAAATGGCTGAATATTCATATCAGGATACCCACTGGAGCTCTGAAAAATGTAACTGGCCGCTAATAGAGCGAACATTTCTTTTTAATTAAATATAAAAAAAGAGAATATACGCACGCCGTCTTTTGTTTTTGTTATTGTTAATAAGGACATAATTTTTGTACTGTTTTACTACATTAAATAATAATTTATAGTGTACGATGTGTAGTGTATAGAGCGTCAGTTCTAGATAACTAGTAACTGTGATTAAACTAAGATACAGTCGTGAGTTTTCTGTTCTACTGTTTCGCGAGATGTTTCGTTATGATTCGCAAAACTGACTCCATTTTCCTGCATATTCAATATTTTCGTACCCTGTCAAGCAGATATACAGACGATCTCCCGAGAAAACTTCATGGTTAGTTGCTGATGAATTTACCATCAATGCACACCTTGTATTCTCATAGACACCAATTTAAGAATCGAACTTTTCAACACTGTGTCCGATATTAGTAATGTAGGATATATTGCTAAATAATATTCGTTCAGATAATTTATTATGTACGAAGAATATATTTCAAACCAGACCATTAGTGTTATTGTGTGCTCATAAAAAAAGAATCATTAATTCCAGTGATGATTTAATTTTTAAGTAATTAGAATAGCAAGCAATCTAACGGTCCTCCTAATGATAAGCAGTGACCTTTGTTATATATACATGAACAGCACTAAAGAAACCACGTTATCACGTAAGGGTCGTTGTACCACTCTTGCTTTACCATTCTAGAGGACAAAGAAATCATCCTGTAATTTCACTACTTAATTTGACCCCACAACACATACTCTTCGAGCTGCTTAACGGCCGAAATTGGAATGAGACTGAGTTACTCAAGCAGGTGACTTCTGACAAAGTCTACCAAGCTACCAAAAACATCTCAGCAACTAAACAACATTCGCTCTCGATTCGGGTAACTGCTCCAAACATCGCCACAAAAAAGCAAGCACTGTTTCCAGTCTATCTGGACAAAATCCGCGACGTGAGCCCTGATAATCCCGCGCAGGCGATCACAGGCGCCGCCCCTGGGCGTGGCAGTTTCCGGCATCCACCCCCGCGGTACTCTCGCCCTCTGTCTCCTACCGGACGAAGCACCTCGCTATTATACCGGTTTCCTGTCCGCGAACGCTCGCCTTGCTCCAATATATCGATTTGTTTATTTTTTTCCCGCGCAAACAAGACAAATAGGTCGGACGTGGCCCTTCCGAGTGTCGTGCCGTGCCGTGCACAACATGGACTGTGTCTTGACTTGTCGTGTGACCATGATGGGGATCGACTGAAGGTAAGCTTTTAAGGCGCGCTCTCTTGTCGGAAGTGAACTGTTGTGGTGATAGCCACAATTTAACCCCATTTGATATACTTTCAAAGCGTGTTAATATGTCAGTGTCTTTTTTATTTGATGTATTTTCATATTGTAGCGAACTGTGTCTGGTGTGTTATATACGAAAACATATGTACTTATGTACATAATTTCACACATTTATTGTACCTATTATAACATATTAACTGTACTCAAGATAACTCAATTTACTACACTAGTAGCTTTTCTAGCTACAAATAAAATATTACTCATACAGTAATAACATATATCTTCAATGTTCAACTTAATCAAATATAACTTATATGTACTTATGTAAACAAAATCTACTACTTTAATAATCTTACTATGAAATTACTTTTAAACTAGCTGTGCGTTCCGTTTTCCCCTAGATTATAAAATATACCTACACAATGTTAAAATGAATTATTTCTACAATACACCGCTAAAATGCAGGGCAATCCTTATGGCACACCATTACGTGAC